GGGAAGCCTGCTTCTCCCTCTCCCATTCCCCCTGCTTGTGTTCCCTCTCTCGCTGTGTCTCTCTCTGTCAAATAAATAAATAAATACAATCTTTAAAAAAAAAAGGTTTTAAAAGATATTGCCATGCTTACCCCAAGGTCTGGAAGTTAGAAAAGTGGCCTTTGTATTTTTAACAATGAGTACATTTTACTTTCGTAATTAAATGAAAAATAATATTGCTTGAGTCAGTATATTTTCTTACCTCAACACCATGGCTTTGAATACTCTATGTTCTTTAATTGATGAAATGTTAGTTTTCATTTGAAGCCCAACTCAAAGGGGCTCTTAATAGCCCCTCCTGCAGAAGTTATTCCTTCCCTCATTGTACCTGAATAGCCCCTTGTACTTTATCATACACTCTATCAGTGCACTTAAGGTGTCCAGATAGTATAGTTAGTTGAAGAGTTTGAGGTTTTGTCGGAATGTGGTCCACATTCCCCGCCTTTAATGCAGTTCTCTGTAATTTAACAGAGCTTCGTCAGCTTTAGGTGAACTGTTTCTGTATTAAGTAGAAAGAATGGCTTCTGAAATGCCAGTTGAAAGAACTCAAACTCAAATCACTCATTCTCAACAAATATTGTTGAGCTCCTGTCTGTAATCCGCACTTTGTTGGATGCTCCCAAGAGGACAGTGATAAACAGCCCCCTGCCATCCTGAAATTCATACTCTATTCTGGGAGACAGAAGCAAACAGCTGATTACAATACAATTTAAGGGCTTGTAATAGAGAACATGTACTAGGAATACCTATGCCGGAAATACGAGGGGAGAGAAGAATCTCAGAAGGCTTTACGGAGGAGGTGTCATCTAAGCCCACTCTTAAAGGAGTTAGCTGGGTGAAGTGGGGCTGGGGAAGGGTGCTGCTGACTGAAAGCAGCACATGCGAAGGCACACAGGCATGAAAAACTGTGACTCTTGGACAAGCACAGGTCCCTGTGTCAGGCCAGAGTCTAGCCAGTTGGGGAATTGGTGTGAGCCAAGGGACAGGTTGTGGCTAATTCAGGCCGAGTCTGGGGTGACATGCCAAGGAGTTTGGATTTGTTCTGGAGGAGTGGGGGTGTCATACAAGCATTTGAAGTGATGAAGTCGTAGTCCTGTGTCCAGAGTGGATGAGTAATTGGAACTCACCAAACCAGAGCCAGTGATAAGGTTGTAGTAGGTTGTAGTAATAGACTAGAAAGAAATGACAGTGGAGATGGAGAGGAGGAGATGGGTCAGGAGCTATTTATGACGTAGAGTTGACATGATCCCTTTACTGATGTTTTTAAGGAAAGCAACCTAAACTTTATTAAAACTAATGATGAGCTAGCATAAACACAGTGTGCTCTTTCCTTTTTCTCCTTGGTATAGGAAATTGCAGTGTGTACATTGTGAGCCTTACTTCTTGGTAGACTGTTTTCTGTGTTGTAACAGTCCCAGCTGTGCAAGTTGTTTATCATTTAGCACTTTAGATCTAAACTGTGAGTTTCACTTTAGTAACACCTCATGGTTCATCGGTTCATCACGCAATAAAAATACAGAATTGCAAAGAAAACAGTTGAACTCTAAACAAAATATATGCTTATAATTATTAGAGAAGGTATATTCAAATCTTTTAAACTCCTGTGTCAAAGTACTGTATTTCCAACCAGAAAATATTATTCTCTCATAAAATCAACTTTTAAAAGTTCCTCTCTGAAAGAGCAGAAATCTCAGAATAGTCCCACTTGAAGAGTAAGACTCTAAAAAATATAATAATACATCAAAAACTAATGATATAATATACGGTGATTAACATAATAAAAAAATTAAAAAGATCAAAAAAATATAATAATTTTAAATTAATGGACATTTTATAAAGACAATAAGAAAATAAGGCCCTTAAATGCCAGGGAATAATGGGTTTGTAGAAGACTAAAAAACAGGAGTTTTATACAAAAGAACTAAATTCAAATGGGCAAAATTAGGTTGTGTTTGTGGCAAAGATTGATAAATTTTAGGTCATGGAATCTCCTTCAATTGAATTTCTGAAATTTCAGAAATATTAAATGACCCCTTCTTTGGACATGAAGAGATAGTTTGGGTTTCTGAATATTTATTTTAGACATAGAATCCTAGAAAACAGTAAAATTTAGTCTTTTACTCATGTCTCTAAGGTAATGGGCCTGTATTTGTTTCTTGGTGAGATAAATGTCCATCATAATAGAAACATGAAAGAAATAGAAGAGTCAGAGAGAGGAAGGGAAATGATAGGTACCTGGAAATACTAAGGATTCAGGCAGGTTAAAGGCAGCATAACCACCAAAATAAAAAGCCGGAAGCAAGACATAAAAGGCAGGGATGGGGAAAGATAAGTTATGAGAAGGGTAAAGAGAGTGGGTCCCTTTGCTCAGAGGGAGCGGAAGTGAAGTATTAGTCCGTGTGGGAAAGGAGATGGAAAAACTGACAGCCAGGGGGAGCTGGGGAGGCGCTGGACTAGCTGCTGTCACAGACAGCTCCCCAAGTCTCAGCGGCACAGCACGGGAGAGGTTAGTTCTTCTTCTGTTCAAGATGGCATATCTATTCAGATGCCTTTCCTCCAAGCAGCAGTACAGCAGGGAGCCAGGGGGAGGGGCCCAGGCCCCTTTCACCTTGTGGCTCTGTCATTTTCATCCCAGGGCTTCCAGGAATGTAGAAGGAACATGGAGGTTTTAAGGAGCTAGCCAGGAAGTGGCCCGTATCATTCTACTCATGGGTTAGAACATAGTCACATGGCCATAAGGAACTGCCGGGAAGACTGGAAATGTAGTTCAGCTGTGGGCCCAGAAAGAGGAAATGGGTTTTGAGGAGCATATACTGGTCTGTGCCACAGTGTCTCTTGAAAGGAAGTGTGGTTACGTATTAGTAGGTGAGAAATTAAACAGAGGATAAATGATGTATTAAAAGGGAAAGCATTAAGGGCACCTGGCTGGCTCAGTCAGTACGGCATGTGACTCTTGATCTTGGGGTTGTGAGTTGGAGCCCCATGTTGGGTATGGAGATTACTTAAAATCTTTTAAAAAAAAATGGTGGGAGAAAGCACTGTCAGTTTGAGAAGTCTGTAGTGGACATTTTTCTGTGGCAGATGATTGGGGTATATCATCACTTCTTTAAAGTAGTAGTTCTCAAGCAGGGTACATTTGGTGTTATCTGGAGACACTTTTGGTTTGTCACAACGTGGTGAAGGTACGGCAGCATCTAGTGGGTATGCAGGACAGTGATGCTGCTAACCACCCTGCGTTGCACTGGATGAAGACTTACGTGGTCCAGAATGTCAATAGGGAAAGGCTGAGAAACCTTTCTTTGGAGGAAGAAAAGAAGACAAGTTGGAAGTAAGATAACACAAGAAAAAATATTTCAAGGGGGATGGGCAAAAATGGGTGAAGGGGAGTGGGAGATACAGGCTTCGGGTATGGACTGAATAAGTCACGGGGCTGAGAGGTACAGCACAGGGAATAGAGTCAGCGATACTGTACCGGCCTCGTATGATGGCAGGTGGCAGCTAACGTGCAGTGAGCCCAGCCCAGGTGCAGGGTCGCGGCATCACCACAGTCTACACCAGGGCGTGCTGGGTCAACTATACCTCAAACAAAAGAAGTTTTATAGAAGCACTAACATTATCTTCTGATATCTAATTGAATATAAAATGATAATATCTAAAGACAATTCCCAATATTTCAGGAAAGAGCCCCCATATAAAATCAAATATACTCTCAGGAAGCATTCGGAGCCTGTGGAGGGCAGTGACTGGCCCTCTTTTTGATTTTCAAGGAGACCCTGCTCAGCAAGGCGGAACCCTCATCTTAGGTCCAGGTAAGCGTCAAAGGCCAGATCCAGTGGCACACTTTTTGTGCCTTTTAGAAGTTAGGGGGCCACACAGTTTCTTCATAAAATAGATACCAGGTAAAAATGGCAATTTGACATTGTAACAGTCATGATTCTGTGCTTATAGGGGTCACCTTTGTTTTCAAACGCTTCTGTGTATTTTGGTGTCTGTTTATTGGGTGTCATGTGCCCATCATTCTGTGCCTGAGTGATTTCAGGTATTTGGGATAGGAAAGTCAGCGGTGCTTTGGTCAATTGTATTTGTCTATAAAACTGTTTAAAAAGTTCCTGGAAGAGGGGCGCCTGGGTGGGTCAGCCGCTTGTGCACCAGATACTTGATTCCAGCTCAGGCCGTGGTCTCAGGGTCCTGGGATTGAGCCCCGTGTCAGGCTCCATGTTCAGCGGGGAGTCTGCTTGTCTCCTTCTCCCTCTGCCCCTCCCTACCTCCCTAAAATAAATAAATAAATCTTTAAAAAAAAAAAAAGTTCATGGAAGAGAGGGGCACCTAGGTGGCTCAGTTGGTTAAGCGTCAGATGCTTGATTTTAGCTCAGGTCATGATCTCAGGATCGTGAGATCGAGCCCTGTGTGGGCTGCACTCAACAGGGAGTTTGCTCGAGATCCTCTCTCTTTCCCTTCCCCTCTCCCCACGCTCAAGTGCTCTCTAAAATAAATAAATATTAAAAAAAAAAAAAGTTCATGGAAGTGAACATTTCCAACAAACCATCAAGCCTTTTTTTTTTTTCTCAATAGAAGAATCAATCCAGTTACTTATATCTAACAAGGTTAGAAGACTTGCTCAGTGTCAGAAAGCAAGTCAGCTCCAGGGACAGCTCATTCAGTAACAATTACTATAAGCCACATAGTTTTAATAGCTTTATTGATCACTTTGGGCCACCTGAAATTTCTTTGGCTCCACACTGCTATATGGTTGAGTGTTAGATCTCTACCATGGTCAAGTATTGTAGTCAGGGACAGGCACTCACATATGACAGTGTAAATCACTAAATTGTAAATAGATTTTCTTGGTTCTTCTTCCTCTTGAAAATTGTCCACATTAGCGAGCATAGCTTCTACGAGTTATAAAATTAACATTTACTTTAATAAACTCCACATGTCTAAAAGTCTTTAGAAGGAGGCTTTTGACCAAGCATTATGGCTTTTTGGCTTTCTGCAGCTGGAGCACTTTAGCTAGCTAAAACCTGTAATTTAATCTCTCTTTCCCTCTCTTGTGAATTTATACCAGTTAGACTAGAAAAAAAGAGAAGCCCTGTTTTATGAGAATGAGTCCTCTAGATTAGCCCTGAATGACCTTGAGCCATATTTTTGGATGGCTTGTTTCCATCTTCAGACCCGATTTGAGTCCCTAATCTCCATGTCTCAGCATCATTTGACCACATGTTCAGATGTGTAAGGGTGACCCAGCGCACAGAGAGCATCATTTGTGTGCCAAGTTGGGAACATAATTGAGTATGTGAGGACTATGTAAGGAGTGTATTTTGATACTACCTGCTGGAAGAAATGTAGCTCCTCTAAGGGAAGAGCTGGGTATACTTATTTATAGAAACCTTTCATGGTTAAACCTATATTTCATTTTGCCTTATTTGATAATAAGCTAATTTATGATATTAAATATACAGTGATTACTGTAGATTACTGATGCCTTTTTTTTTTTAAGATTTTATTTATTTGACAGAGAGCACAAGCAGGGGGAGTGGCGGGCAGAGGGAGAAGCAGGCTCCCCACTGAGCAAGGAGCCTGATGCAGGACTCGATCCCAGGACCCTGGGATCATGACCTGAGCCAAAGGCAGATGCTTAACCGACTGAGCCACCCAGGCGCCCAAAAACATGCCTCTTATAATGTTTACTTAATCTTATGTTTTAAGTTAAAATTCTGGTCTTGAGTCCAAGAATCAAAGTAAAAAAGACCCTAGACCTATAAATTATGACTTTTTAATTTGAGCAGATAAAAGGATTGTGGACATCTAAGTGTATTGTAACTGACTGTCTCAATGCCCTGATTTTTTAGCCTCTTTTGGTCTATGATTATAATGCAGATAACCTATTAAATCAGTGTTTGGCAGTGAATTTTTTTTTTTTTTGAAGCAAGTGATTTATTCCATTATTACATTTAAGAAACAGATGTGATTTTCCAGCTTGATATTTATGCTAGTTCCATATTCTGCCTGTCTGTTTGACAGGATATTTTATTTAATTACATCTAATAAAACCTAACGGAGGTTATAATTTAAGAATCTTTCCCCTTGGATCTCATAAAACATTAAGTATCACTCTTATTTAACCATAATCCATGTCATGCTTTATTACCTTAATTTAAAATTATTAGGGCATTATACAGAGAATATTATGAACTCCAGGCAATCAATTTTTCCCTTTAGACTAATTAAAAGTTGAAAAGATTCCTTGATTCTAATAAGCAATAAATCTAATGAATCTATATGCCTACCTTTGCCTTTTATTCTCTTCTAGGTAACAACATCCATTTTATACACCGTGATAAAAATAGGTTGGATCACAAACCCATCAACTCTGTTTTACAGCTTGTAGGAGTTCAGCACGTGGACTTTACAAGCAGACCTTCAGTTATCCATGTGTAATGGCATAGACTGTTGTCACTTTCAAATGGACCCTTGGGATAGGACCTGAAATGTTCAGAGTCGGGTATCCTTGTGCAGTGTCTAACTTGTTGGCGTGTCCCAGCCTTTGACGAGTTATGAAAACATGAAGAGACCATGTACCAGTCATTGCATGCTGGGAGGCATTAGTTGTCAAAAATATGATCTATATTTATAATTCTATAGCTTTTAAAATTTTATGTGAAATACAATTTTATTTATATAAAACTTTAAAAGCTATAAAATTAGAAATACCATTCTATATTTTGCATTATGGTATATCCATTCAATGAAAGTTTCTGTTGGCCATTAAAATAATAAATTCTTTTGAAGAACATATAAATGGAAAGGTAAGCAACTCACCAAAAAGCAGGATATCAAATTCTGTAAATAATATAATCATATTTTTTATATATTTTTGTATGCTTAGGAAAAAATATAAGAAATAAACACACCAGAATATTGCCAGTAGGTACCTCTATATGGTAGGATTACAGGTGTCTTTATTTTCTTTTCCATACTTTTCTTTATCTCCGAACTATTGTATAATGAGCATGAGTCATTTTTTTGGCCAGGAAAAGTTCTTTAAATTTATATGAAGGATATATTCCTACATAACAAGTTCTGCAAAGTTGCATTTATATAGGCTGCTGTCCACATGTTTCTATCCTCACTGCTTTACTCAGAGGAAATATGGCAAACCAGACCTTCTGCATAGCCTGTGTCCAAGGCACCTTGTACCACACACCCACTACCCATTTCACTAGGTTTTTTGTGGGGAGGAATAAAAGGAGAAAAAAATGTCTTATGTATTTAAGATAATGTATTTAAAATATGCTTCAGTATGCTTTTTGAAAGGATTTTAAGAATTGTTTAAACTAAAAAAAAAACTTTGTAACTTAAATGTACACTGGTTTGGTTGCCAGATTGCTTTTATTTAGTGTATTGTTGTCATCTTTTATTTCTCTAGAATCTTAATAGGTTTAGTTGCAAAGAAATTCTGATGAAAAGTGTGGTAAGAGCAAAATGTTGGTAATTATTAGCAAGTATATACTCCTTTGAACTTATAAACTTTTATATCAAGCATATGAGGTCACACACAAATATATTTCAAGTATCCAAATATTTTAATGTATGTTTGTGTATATATACGTAAACATTTTTTAATCAATAAAAATGGAATTTCTCATGAAATTTAAAATTAAGCAATTTTGTGCTGTTTTTTATAGTAAGGAAGGACTGGTGACCCAGATCCCTTTGCTGATTTTAGACTTACAACTGCTGAATAATAGCTTACACAAAACTTTATATATTTATAAACGTATAATACATTTTCCTAAGATACATAAATGTTCTTTATGTAGCTTCAGGGAGATAACAGTTAGACAAACAGTGCAGTGGTAAATTGCCGACCCAAACAAACATATTTAATACAAAAAAACTTTTTGTTGTTTAAAGATTTTATTTGTTTGTTTATTTATTATTTGCGGGGGGGAAAGGAGCAGAGGGAGAGAGACAAGTCGATTCTGCCCTGAGCACAGAGCCTGATGAGGGACTCAATCCCACAACCCCAAAATTGTGACCTGAGCAGAAATCAAGAGTTGGGTGCCTAACTGACTGAGCTACCCAGGCACCCCAATACAAAAATTATTTCTCATAGGCACTGTGAAATATATAAATGTGCTCTGTACCCAATAATGTACTAGACTCAAAATTTTGTAAAACCTTCCTACAATAAATACATAGCAATACTATTCAAAGAATACTATCTAGCACTTTTATCGTGCTAATTATTTGCCAGGTAGTATTCCAAGTGCTTAACATACATTAGCTCTATAGAATTGATATCATCATCATGCCCATTTCACAGAGAAGAAACATCTTTTTTTTAAGCTGAACTTTCAGTAAGAAAGGAAATCACCAGGGCCAAAAGCAGAAGTAGAAACAAGGCTGATGACCATGCCCTGAAGCTGTTGATTGCCCTGAGGTTTGTGCTCATCCCAGGAATGTTCCTCAGCCAACTCAAAGGCCTTGTGCAGTAGAGAGTTAAAACTAAGACCACCACATAAAGTATGGCCTGCGACCTATGCCTGAGACCTGAGACTTCCTGGGGCTTCTTCTTTTTTTTTTTTTAAATTTATTTATTAGGGAGAGAGAGAGAGAGAGAGAGCGCAAGAGGGGGTAGGGTTAGAGGGAGAAGCAGACTCCCCGCCGAGCAGGGAGCCCGATGTGGGACTCGATCCCCGGACTCCGGGATCACGACCTGAGCCGAAGGCAGTCGCCTAACCAACTGAGCCACCCAGGCACCCTCCTGGGGCTTCTAAGGCTACAACTGCACCACAGGCAAATCCATCCATATTCTCACCAACTTGTTTCTATTTTTTTTTTTAGATGTTTGTTTAAGTAATCTCTACATCCAACATGGGGCTCGAACTCACAACCTGGAGATCAAAAATTTCATGCTCTACTGACCCAGCCAGGTGCCCCTATTATTTTTTTTTTTATATATAATGGCCATTCTAATGGGTGTGCAGTCGTATCTTACTGTAGTTTTAACAAAATTTATCAATTTTTTAAACATGTATATACAATAACCAAAGAAAAAATATGAGCAGCTGATGCTGAGTAATAATTTTTTTTAAGTAAGCTCCATGCCCAGTGGGGAGCCCCATACAGGGCTCAATCTCACAACCTTGAGTTTGAGACTTGAGCCGAGATCAAGAGTCTGATGCTTAACTGAGCCACCCAGGTGCCCCTGAATAATATTTTTTTTAAAAACAAGCATGACACCCTGGGCTTTCTATGTTGTCCACCACTAAGCAGACATTAGAAATGTTTGAAGTGTTAAAGAACTGCTTTTGTAAATCGACCTGTGTTGTCCTCACTGATAACATTTTTTTAAAATGGGTCCTATATGTTTTGATTTAAGTTGGAAATCTTTAATGAGTTTAATGAATGGTGTGCCAAAAACTCTCATTTTGAAGCTTTTACAAATCATATGACTGGAAACAAACCTTACAAATGGGAAGACACTGAAATCTGGCTTTTTTTTTTTTTTAAGATTTTATTTATTTATTTGACAGAGTGAGAGAGAGCACAAGCAGGGAGAGTGGCAGGCAGAGGGAGAAGTAGGCTCCCTGCTGAGCAAGGAGCCTGATGTGGGACTCGATCCCAGGACCCATGACCTGAGTCGAAGGCAGACACTTAACCAACTGAGCCACCCAGGTGTCCCTGTGGCATAAAGTTTTAAGAAGTATATATTGTTTAAGGATACCTACATATGTCTGACAGTTTTAAAGAAATGCAAGGCAGTGATAAATAGCAAATTAAGGAGAATGAATATCTTTGGGGGAATGAAGGTAGAAGTGATTAGAGTGTACAGAAATGGTGTTTGGCTACGTTGGCAAAATTTCATTTAAGTGATGTAGTTGGGTACATGGGTATCTGTTCCATCATTCTTTGTACCTTTTGTATTCTTTTGTATATGCACACATATAAATATATCATAGCCTGTTTTGTAGATGTATTAATTGGGTTGTACCTTATATTATTGTCCAATAATTGCCTTTACAGGATAAATATTTTACATTTATTTTTTAAGATTATTTGAGACAGAGTGATAGCAAGAGAGAGCACGCACGAGCAGTGGCGGGGGAGGTGTGGGGGGATGGGTAGGGGGAGAGAGAGAAGCAGGCTCCCCGTTGAGCAGGGAGCCCACTTCTTGGCTCAATCCCAGGACTCTGGGATTACGACCTGAGCCAAAGGCAGACACTTAACTGACTGAGCCACCTAGGTGCCCTGACTGTTTCACAATTCATACATAGAAAGTGGAAAAGCAATTTTTACACCTTCAAAACATGTAGCTTTACTAAGCTGTACATTCAGTTCCCGCCTAGAACAGCAGCACAGCGGTGTCTTTCTTGTTTGGGATCTGTGCTGCAGTTACTGCCTTACAGGGGATGTGGTCTGATAATGAGGGAGAAGATGTTTTCCAGGGCCAGTTATGTGTTAGGTATTATGGGAGATTTAAATGACAGATACAGCAGAATCTTTGCCTTTAATCATTCAGACTATATTTAAGGAGGGCAGGAAGAGTATCAGGGCAACTAACAAAATAGGTACTGAATGATAAACAGCCCTTTGCAGGGTGCAGAAAACCTTACAGTGATTTGAATGTCTTGGAGGGGAAGGCAGGAGATTGGAGTGCTCGAGGTTTGCACGTGAATTTTTAAAAGCGGCTCACAAGAACCACAAGTGTAATTAGCCTTATTCATCATGATGAGGTATTTGATCAAAGCTCTTATGGAAGTAAAACTTGTTTCTAGAAAATTATTTTTAATCTTATGCCAGTCTTCTTATATGCCATTTTTAAAAATAGGTAAGCACTCAGAGTATTTTTAAGATTTCTTTAGAAATCATTCCAGCTCTGTTATTTAACTTTACTCGGAGAGCAGCCTCTAATCACTGACATTTCCAGACGTTGACTCCTAAAGACTTAAAATGCCACATGTGAATGTATTTACTAACTTGATATAAATAAAGAATAGCTTCAAAATTCCAAGAACATGCATACATCTCTCATAAGCACAACATTTATCATTCTTTCTGCTTAAACCAGTATACTTTCCTCTCCATTTTTCTAGACTAAAAGCTTATATTTTGATATTTTGTTGCCCATGTCCGTATTGGCAAGTATGAGGGCCTCCTGTGAATTAATGCTGTGTGCCACACAAGAGGAAAATAAAGCAAAAGAAAATGCTTTCAAAAATGTATTGGAGGATTAACAAGTCAGGAAACAACAGATGTTGGTGAGGATGCAGAGAAAGGGAAATCCTCTTACACTGTTGGTGGGAATGCAAGCTGGGTGCAGCCACTCTGGAAAACAGTATGGAGGCTTCTCAAAAAGTTGAAAATAGAACTACCCTATGACACAGCAATTGCACAACTAGTTATTTATCCAAATGATACAAAAACAGTGATTCGAAGGGGCACATGCACCCCGATGTTTATAGCAGCACTATCCATAATAGCCAAACTATGGAAAGAGCCTAAATGTCCATTGACTGATGAATGGATAAAAAAGTGGTGGTATCTATACACAACGGAATCTTACTCAGCCATCAAAAAGTATGAAATCTTGCCATTTGCAACAACATGAATGGAGCTAGACAGTATAATGCTAAGTGAATAAGTCAATCAGAGAAAGACATACCATATGATCTCGCTCATATGTGGAATTTAAGAAACAAAA